AACTGACCTCCTTAGGCTTTCAAGTAATGCCCCATCCACCCTATTCTCCCAACCTGGCTCCTTCTGACTGTTATTTGTTCCCCAAACTAAAAAAACACCTAAAGGGACAACAATTTGGGAGTGTTCTGGAGGCAACTAATGCTGCAAATGAATGGTTACACCAGCAGTCGGAAGAATTGTATTTGCAGGGACCTAAGAAGCTGCAGGACAGATGTTGCAAGTGCATTGACTTCCTGGGGGAATATGTAGAACAGTGTGGCAGTTACAGCTTCCTAGCTCATTTTTTTTTCTGGGAAAGGCTCAGTACTTATCAGCACCCCTTCATAGCTCCCATTAGCCCTAGCCAGAATGGCCAGTGGTAGGAAATTATGGGAGCTGATTAGGCCATGTTCGTAGCACATGTAATTTCCAACTCACAGACTGCTCAACAGCAGAAAAGTTAAACAGAAGCATGTGACTCTGATCTCATTATGTCATAGTAAACAATTCCATTAACTTAGTGGATAAACATTAATTTTAGTTTCTGGATTGCCACATATTTCCCAGCCTTGATGTAGGAGCTGAATAGCATAAGAAGCAAGTTGAATCCTGTTGGATGCCATTGGTCAGAGACCAAAATGGTTGAACACTGGCTTTTAAGACCTAGTATTCTGCACCTTGTTGTACTAAAGCCTAAGCACTCACAACTGAAATAACTATATAATGCTTCTCTGTTTTTCTTCTGTTTCTTTACCCCTTTGTGAGATTGTAAGTTTGGGAAAGAGCTCTAGAACAGAAATAGAATACATGCAAAAGTGACAGGTTCAGTTCCTGGCATCTCTGAGTGGAGATGAGATTTGTGTGTGAAGTCTTTTGATAGTTGCTGCCATTCAATGTAGAAAATGGTATGCTAGATGGACCAGTGGTTTGACTCTGTATAATGCAATCTACAGTGTCTTAAACTTTTGTTGTAAGCCATTATATACACTGGTATTTTTGAATACCCTGTTTCCCCGAAAATAAGATCTAACCTGAAAATAAGCCCTAGTATGATTTTTCAGGATGTTCGTAATATAAGCCCTACCCCATAAATAAGCCCTAGTTAAGTGAAACCCCGTCCCCCACCTTTGTGCAGCAACCAGAAGATGACATTAGTGTATTAGAATAAATGTAGATTGTCATACATCGAAAAAAATAAAATATCCCCTGAAAATAAGCCCTATTGCGTTTTTGGAGCAAAAATTAATAAAAGACCGTGTCTTATTTTTGGGGAAATTTTCTGAACACTGCTGCTTGATTAGGCTTATCAGTCAGGCAATGTACAGTGGACCCTCTACTTAAGGAATTAATCCGTATTGGAATGGTGGCTGCAAGTCGAAAAGTCTGTAAGTCGAATCTGCATTGACCTACAATGCACTGAAAACCGATTAATCCCATAACCAGTGGTTTTTATTCTATTTTTATTCCATTTTGGTTTTTTCTGGTCTGTAAGTCGATTCTCTGGCTGCAAGTCGAATCTAAATTTTGCAGCCAGAGAATTCTGTAACTCGAAAAGTCTGTAAGTCGAGCCGTCTGTAAGTCGAGGGTCCGCTGTACACTGTTTCCTACTGGCATTGTCATTTTATTTAATTTCTTCAGTCAGCAGTTCTAACACAAACATGAACTGTTTCATTTAGCATTTACAGTGATGCCTCGACTTGCAAACTTACCGTATTTTTCGCTCCATAAGACGCACCTCTCCACAAGGAGAAGAAAACAGGAAAAAATAATTTGTTTTCTTCTCCTAAAAATTGGTGAGCCTTATGGAGAGGTCCATCTTATGGAACACACCCTAGGACCCTTTGGAAGCTCACCCTGCCCCCCCCCGGGGGTCAGAGGGGGCAAAATCGC